GAACTCTATAATATTGTTAAATGTGTCATTAGCATTCTCCCATCATTTCTTCATCACTTACATGTCAGTTCTGTGCTCCCATGGTCTTATGATACCTCTCATTGTCCTGATTTACTAAGGTTCTGCACTTCCTAAGATGACCCATTTTAGGGGCACCTGTGTGGCTCAGTTGGTTAAGTGTGTCTGCCTTCTGCTCAGGTCATGATCTCGGGACTCTGGGATTGAGCCCTGTGTTGGGCTTCTTGCTCAGTGGGAGTCTGCTCAAGGATTCTCTCTCTCCCTCTGCCCCTCCCTCTGCTCCTGTGTGCTCTCTCTCTCTCTGTGTCTCTCAATCTCTCTCAAATAAGTAAGATCTTTTAAAAAATAAAAAATAAAATTTCCCTTTTTAGAAATTCATTCTTCTCTCCACCCTGATCATCAAAACACAAATTTCTTTAATAACTTCTGAGCAGATAAAGTACTAGGAGGAAGTTATAAATTTGATTATATAAACTACATGATTAAGGTTATTTACAATAAAATTAGTTCATTTATTTGGTTGTATCAAATCAATATTTACCAGACACTTAAATGCCAGTTCTGTTAGGATACAGGAATATCTAAAATTCAGTCTGTTTTAAGGAACTCATAGTTTAGAAGAAATGATGATACACTTAACTTTCCCAAGGATGCTATCAATTTTAATGGAGACACTTGTTCACAGATCACCCTGCAGTTGTTTTCACAATATGCCTAAAATATCTCAGAGGCTGCCATAGGCCATGAAGGACAGATTTCATCTTATGTCATGCCTCATCTTGAGTCAAACCAGCAACTCTGAATTACATAAAGATCCCAGAATAAACTAGTTGATGCCCCTATGCCCTCGCAATATGCCCTCGCAAATGCTAATGTCTCTGTATAATGTCCCGCCCTTGTGCAATTCTTTTCATTCTTCAAAAGTCAACTCTAATATCAACACTTTGCAAAGGTCTTGTTATTGTTATCCTTCTAATTGAGCTCCATTTTTTTAGATAAATCTGCACCTTGTGTGTCTCACTATATTCTCATTAAGTCTATCTCCTTTTTAAATCTGTGAGCACCGGGATCCCTGGGTGGCACAGTGGTTTAGCGCCTGCCTTTGGCCCAGGGCGCGATCCTGGAGACCCGGGATCGAGTCCCACATCAGGCTCCCGGTGTATGGAGCCTGCTTCTCCCTCTGCCTGCCTCTCTCTCTCTCTCTCTGTGTGCCTATCATAAATAAATAAAAATTAAAAAAAATAAATCTGTGAGCACCTTCATGCATTGATTGGGAATTATTCAGCTCTCAGGCAGACCCATAAGTAAGGAACTCAACAGGAAAAATTACTGAAAATCTAATATTTCTCTGCTTTCTTAAATAGATGACAGAGAATAAATCTTTTTTAGTAGCTCAGATTTATCACCACAGATAATGAATAATTATTGTACAATGTTGTCATTTAGTGTTTATCTTTGCTCACCCTTAAGAAAAGATGATCAAAGATTTTGGTTTTATTCTAGGCAGTCTCTGCTCTCAATTATTTTTATTTTTCTCCCTGCATGCCAGTCAGCCACCTCTCTAGTTCTTTCTGGCGCTGCTGTACCTGCTTGCAATAGCCCACCTCTTTTCTTTCCCTTCCTTTCAAATGATCACATTGTAATTTCCAGGCTGGGAACTCAGAACCCTAAGCTTATTAGAATAAAGGAAAGGAAGGGACTGTGATAGACTCTCCTACAAATGGCTCAGGCTTAGCTCACAAACTTTGTAATAACTTGTTATTACTGTTTTTGAGCTTTTTATGCTTGCTTTATGTGCAACTGGATCCTAAGTGGTTGGGGTACTTGGAACTCTAACTTCCATTTAAGTGTGATATGTTTCTGAATTTTTATAGCTATCCACCCACTTTTATCTTATTTATTCATTTATTTAATAGGCTCCACATGCAGTGTGGATCCCAACGTGGGGCTTAAACCCATGACCCTGAGATCAAGATCTGAGCTTAAGACCTGAACAGAGATCAAGAGTCAGACACCTAACCTACTGAGCCACTCAGGAGGCCACTTTTATTTCTTAAAATCTATTTATTTTAGTAATCCCTATATCTAATGTGGGGCTAAAACTCATGATCCCAAGATCAAGATTTGTACGCCCTTCTGACAAACTAGCTAGGTGCCTCCTTCCATCCCACTTTTTTTTTTTAAAGATTTTATTTATTTATTTATGAGAGAGAGAGAGAATCAGAGACACAGGCAGAGGGAGCAGCAGGCTCCATGCAGGGGGCCCGATGTGAGACTTGATCCAGGAACTCCAGGATCACGCCCTGAGCTGAAGGCAGGGGCTTTAACCGCTGAGCCACCCAGGTACCCAGGTGTCCCAATCCTACTTTTTTAAATTAAAGTTTTTATTTATTTATTTAGAGAGAGAATGAGTGGAGGGAGAGGCAGAAGGACTGAGAGAAAATCTCTAGCAGACTCTGTACTGAGCACAGAGCCTGATGAGGGACTCAGTTGTACAATCCTGAGATCATGACTTGAGCTGAAACCAAAAGCCACCCAGGCGCCCCCCATTACACTTTTAAATCTCATTCTGGTACATAACACAAGTGTTCTCTAAGTGTCATGTTTAACATACATTTCTTTGAAATGTATATATTAACATCTGGTTCTTTTATAAAATAAAAAAAATGATGTAGGGAGATTTTTCAAATAGAATTTCACATATAACTTAAAGTTTCTCTTATTTGTGTTTTGGACATTTAAGGATATTTTAGAACCTACTTTCATCCTTTTGGATGTAATATTGCAATGATAATAAATACCATATAAGGATAATAGGCACCATTGCTTGGACACTTTATAAAAATCAAGCACTGTGCTAAGCACACAGATTACCTCATTTAATCTTTATAATCAAGGCAAATGTTACTATATCTATGTTATAGAAGGGACAACTAAGAAATTGAAATCTAAAAAAAAAAAGAAATTGAAATCGTCTATCAGCTAGTTAAGCACAGGAGGCAGAACCTATATATTAATCAATCTTGGAAACTCATTTTTAAAAAATATTTTCAACTCTCTAGTTATGGTTTGCCCATTATTCCAGTAATATTTGGGAGGGTACCTTTATCGTTAGTATATTATTCATATACCTACAATTCACCCTTAAGCAGTCATTCACCCACTTTCCCAACAACAGGCCAACCTCATCCCCAGGCAACCACTAATCTACTTTCTGTATCTATAAATTTGCTGCTTCTCGATATTTCATATAAATGGAATCATATAATACATGGTATTTTGTTTCTAGCTTCTTTCCCTTAATATAATGTTTAGGTTTTCAAAGTTCATCTCTGTTGTAGTATTTACCAGTACTTCATTCCTTTTTATGCTGAAAATATTCCATTGTATGGATATACCACATTTTATTTATGCTTTTACCATTCGATGGACATTTGGATTGTTTCCACTTTTTGGTTACTAAGAACAATGGTGCGACAGCCCATTACATTTGTAAAAACATTTACAAATATTTGGGAGGATCAGTAGTAAAAAATTTGTAAGAGTGCTGAAACCTACATGTTACAGTAGCTTTAGTAGTAATTCCAATACTCATTAAAGAAGATTTAACTAAAATTCCTTGGATCTTGAAACATTAAATCATCAGAACTGTAAGTTATACATTGCAGGTAGAAAGTGCACTGAAAATTGTAATCCATTTTTTTTTCTTTTCTTTTTTTTTAATTTATGATAGTCGCAGAGAGAGAGAGAGAGAGAGAGAGAGAGAGAGAGGCAGAGACACAGGCAGAGGGAGAAGCAGGCTCCATGCACCGGGAGCCCGATGTGGGATTCGATCCCGGTCTCCAGGATCGCGCCCTGGGCCAAAGGCAGGCGCCAAACTGCTGCGCCACCCAGGGATCCCAATTGTAATCCATTTTAACCTTATATCTTTTTATTTTTTAACTTCGCTTACTCTGCAGTTTGGAGAAGACTTTTTTTTAAAAAATATTTTATTTATTTATTTATTCATGAGAGACAGAAAGAGAGAGAGAGGGAGAGACACAGGCAGGGGGAGAGGCGGGCTCCACGCAGGGAGCCCGATGTGGGACTGGATCCCAGGACTCCGGGATCATGACCTGAGCCCAAGGCAGACGCTCAACCACTGAGCCACCCAGGGTTCCCTCAATTTTACATGATCCCTCTTTGAAGATGCTTTCCAATGGACCGACCACGTGATAAAAATTCTAAGAACAAACAAAAATAATCTGAAAATTCTGGAGTGTACTGAGGAAATACTTTCATTTCTATTTTTTTTTTTTTTTGTCTATTTCTGGCAGGGAATGGACAGTTTCTAAAGCCTTGTCGTTGGTTAATGCACTCTAAAATTAATCTTGCTTTCCCTTTATGATAAAGGCGATCTTACAGGGGGATTTAAGAAAATCTTAGATGACCATTTTAACATGCTTGAAAGCTGATGCAAACATCCTCTGACCACTCTTTTGGGTGAAAACAGGATTCCTTTTTTTTTTTTTTTTTTTTGTTTTCTTTTTTTTGTTCCATTCACGGTGGTGTGGGGGGCGGAGGGAGCTTCGAGTAAACAATCTGGTAACTAATTTGCAATTGGCTTACCTGCTAGCGAAAAAACTGAAATGACTCTGGTGCCAACGGCGAAGAAAATAACAGACAGAAATACATAAATCCAGAAATCGTTCTTTAAAAAAAAAATCCCGTGTTTGGCGAGAGACAGCTCAATTTACAACCAAGAAACTGAAAACCAAGAAAGGGATCGTTCGCCAGCCGGGACTCACGCTAGCGAAACTTGTGGGCGCTGCGTGGCTTCCGTGGTCGTCACCTTGGAAACCGCAGCCTTGACACGTCCCCCGCGGGCAGCGGCGAGAGCGCCTGGAGGAGCAGGCGTTCTCAGGACGCCGTCTGCGCCTGCGCCGGGCCGCCGCGCCCCCGGAGCTAGAGAGGCCCGGATGGAGGAGGCGGGGCGCGCCGTTGCTATGGCAGCGGGTCCTCGCCGCCGTGGGAGCAGGTGCTGGGGTCTCCCCCGCCTCGCTGTCAGAGCTTAGAAAGAGGAGGAGAGGAGAACTCCCCCGGCCGTCTCTGTGACCCCAGCCGCTGCATCTTACACAGGCAGGAGGGGCTACAGAGGGGGAGAAGGGAAGGATGGTGCGGAGATATTTATGGTGGGAGAGGGTACCGGGGTACAGCGTCTGGGACAGCTGGGAGGATCGATGGTTAGAAGAGAGGGAAGAGCCTTCCTGCTGGCGTCTGATCGTGCCACGTCCGGGTTCCCCGGAGCCCGGGGGTGGGGGGGGGAGGGGGAGTCTGCCAATACCTTGGTTGGCTCTGTACGAGGGAAAACCCCTCCAAGTGGAGCTTCGTCTCTCATTTTTATACCCTTTTCTGTCCCCTCTCAAAGTTCTCATTCCTGGTTGAAAAAAGCCCCCCCGCCCCCGAAATGGTAGCTTCCATGAAGAGGCTTCGTTTAGTTGATGGTACCTGGGGACCCTGGATACAAATTCATCCCCCAATGTGCGTGACGTATGATTTATTGTCATACTTTGTGATGGAGTATGGTTTTTAAAATGTTTTTCCTCTCGGGACTTCGGTTTGGAAGGATGCAGCAAGAAGAATGGGCAAGATGGGTCTCATGATGCTATTAGGAGTTGGCTTTTGCTTAAATACTTTGTATTAAAACAGATTCTCCTTGACTTTTTTTTCAACTCTCTTAGATTTAAACAAGCCTATGTTTAAAAGGCTATGAGGTAAGACTGGAGTCAGTGAATTAGATTAAACTATTTTCGAATGTCTGAATCTGAAAGAAAGTTGTCAAAAGTGTATACGTACGCACACTTGGCACTTGGCTTAGACTCCCTAAAAGATCTGCAGTTAGAAACCCGCATGGGATTTGGCAGACACCCAGGAGGAAGAAATTAATTTCATAAAACAGTTAACCTATTAAGAGGGTGGTTCTGAGCTAGGCCACTTACATAGATTTTTTACTGATGATAAACATTGAAATTTAAATACGTTTAACTCACGCGGAATAAGTGTTAGGTGATTCGTTTTCTGTAGGATATATTTTTGTTCTAGCGTGATGACTGTGTACCATATGGCAAGTACCCTGGGGATAATGATTAAAAGAACCGAAGGGGATTGGATATCCTGTGACGCATTTGAAAAAGGCTTAAGGGACTTGGTAACAAAAGTTTATGATTTATGTTCTTTGTTTACTTGGCAACCAACCATGAGGTTTTTGAAGGTACAGGAGAAGAAGGCAATACAAATTTAATGTATCTTCATTTACTCTCAAAGTCATTTCAACTGTGACTTTTTATCTTTTTAATTATGGTATAATAGCACGATTTAATGACACCTAATATGTTTAATTTGTAATCATTTTGTTTGTATTTATTATTCTGATTATGCCTTTTTAGTTTTAAATTTGAGTTTTCACATGGGTGAGATCCTTTGTAAGTAAAAGGCGTAACTAACAAAAGCCCTCAGCAAGTATTTATTTAAGAATTCAAAAGTATGTTTATTATAAAATTAGAAGAGAGCACTGAAGAGTTCCATAGAAATCTTACTCTAACAATTCATTATGTAATCTAAACATCTTAAAATTATAAATTCCAAGATCCCTGGTCTGAAAAGAAAGCCAATTATCCTAAGACACTTGTGACTTTGAAAAACAGTATTATTTATGTAAGTATTTTGGATGACAACAAGTTTTAGTTTGTTCTACATTATCCATGGTGCCCTTACTTTTAGTTAGTAGATAGTTAGACATAATTGTTGATGTGACTTAGCCTATCTTGCAGCTAGGCAGGCGTAAATAAACTCACTTTGAAGTATTGATTGGTTTCTCTAGGTTACCTCAAAGTACTATTGCTCTCAACCTTTGCAAAGTATTGAAACCTTATTTTGAGTTCTTTAAGAAAGTCCATTTTTTATTCTTAGTTTAAAAAGAAATAAATATCTAGAAGGAATTATAGTCCAACTAATACATTGGAAATAGTTATAATTATTTGGTTGGATAATTAGGTTGAAAGATTAACATTCATGTACATAAAACTAACTTTGTCTTGGGAGGGGGAAGGGAACCAATACCAAGCATTATTCTGAGAAGAGATGACATTTAAGTGAACCAAACAAGAATTTTTTAAGTCTTGGATTTAATTATTAAGTCGCTGATCATTTATTTTAGATTAAGCTTATCATACTACTATGCATTTCCTTTTAAATTCTCTTGCTTTTTATGAGTTATTTGCTCATTTGTATCTCATAAAAAGTTTAAAATATTAAGAGTCATCTAGCTCAACAGTTTTGCTTGCTCTAAGGCTCTTTGTCGTTGACAAAGAATGCAACACTTCAAACAGAAAACTCACTTTATTTCATGACAAGTTTGAAATGTAAATTCTGTTTTATTTTTAAAAAAGACTTTATTCATTTATTTGAGAGAGAGAGAGAGAGAGAGAGAGAGAGAGAAAGCACGAACACGGGGAGAGGCAGAGGGAAAGGGAGGAACCGACTCAAGGAGCCTGACTCTGGGATTTATCCCAGGACCTTGAGATCAAGACCTAAGAGCTTAAGGCAGATGCCTAACTGACTGAGCCACCAAGGCACCCCTGTAAATTCTGTTTTAATTTGCCAAAATCTGGGATCCCTGGGTGGCTCAGAGGTTCAGCGCCTGCTTTGGCCCAGGGTGTGATCCTGGAGTCCTGGGATCAAGTCCTGCATCAGGCTCCCTGCATGGAGCCTGCTTCTCTCCCTCTGCCTGTCTCTGCCTCTCTCTCTCTCTCTCTCCCTCTCTCTCTCTCTCTCTCTCTCTCTCTCTAATGAATAAGTAAATAAAATCTTTTTTTTTTTAATTTTTTTTTAATTTTTATTTATGATAGTTACACACAGAGAGAAAGAGAGAGAGAGGCAGAGACACAGGCAGAGGGAGAAGCAGGCTCCATGCACCGGGAGCCCGATGTGGGATTCGATCCTGGGTCTCCAGGATCGCGCCCTGGGCCAAAGGCAGGCGCCAAACCGCTGCGCCACCCAGGGATCCCCTAAATAAAATCTTTAAAAAAATAAATAAATTGCCAAAATTTGTCCCCGAGTTTCCAGCCCTTAGCACTAGTTTTACTATTTAAGGTATTTAAGTCCAGTCCTCCTTTACTGAGCAACCATTTAAATAATATAAAGCTGTTGTCATGACTCTTGTGTTTTCTCTTCTTTCAGATAATAGCCCCAGGATTTTCAGGTGTTCTCAGAATTTGGTTCCCAGGCATTTTACTGTCATTGTCTCCCTTCTTCCCTCCTTTCTCTTTTATCCCCCTTTCTCCTGGTTTGCTAGCCTCTGACTGTGTTCTAGCTTGGCTTTTATCTTTAAACTGTAGTGATTTAAACTTGATATGGTGCTTCCCACTTTCTAGATGTCTCACCCATAGTCTTAGCTTCGAGTTTATTTACACTTTGGGTGTCCCAGTCATTCTTTTAATTCATTTGAACTTACAGTTCACTAAAACCTATTAAAATGGTTTTCATATGCAGTATTGAAAAACCTCATCTCTTCCCTTCGCTAATGTTTGTGTAGCTAGTGGAAAGATATTTCCCCACATTCTTTGACTATTATTTTTTTTTAAAGATTTTATTTATTTATTCATGAGAAACACAGAGAGGAGAGAGAGAGAGGCAGAGACACAGGCAGAGGGAGAAGCAGGCTCCATGCAGGGAGCCCGACATGGGACTCGATCCCAGGTCTCCAGGATCACGCCGTGGGCTGAAGGCGGTGCTAAACCGCTGAGCCACCCAGGCTGCCCGCTTTCACTATTATTTGATGGCAAACAGTACAAGGAAAATAATGTATATCTCCCTACAGTAAAATTGGCACCAGGTTAGGTAGTGTAGTTAGAGGCTTGCCGATAGTACAGTGAAGCCAAAGGTTAAAATAGAGTATGTGGATAATTTATTAATTCAGACAAATATCTCTCATTTTATATCTTTAAAAAATGTATTCTTGACATTAGTACTTTCTGCCTCTAAAAAGGGTTTTAGGCAACTTATTTCTGTTGTGGGAGCAAGAGAAGGCTCCTAGGCATAGAAACAGGTATACAAATAGGGACCCTGAAGATGAGATTTCTATAGTTCCTTTGAGACTGAATATAAGATTCTATGTACATTTAGAAATCATTTATCTTTTTGTTTTTGTTTAATAGTGGAAAATGTGCAGATTATTGCTATGTATTTCTGCCTTTGGCTGCTTTATGAGAATTAGATCTACATAAATAATTTTCCCTCAACCTTTTTTTGTGAACAAATAATCTGACATCAAATTGACCCCTTATCTCTTCTTCCAGATTCTTCTTCAGGAACACATTTTGTTCAGGCCATTCTGGACAATTCCATGCACTTTCATGATTGTTTGCTCTTTCTCATGTTCTCTTTATCTGAAATAATTAATAAACTCTTATACTCAGTATTCAAAGCCCGTCTCAGCTTTCTTGGTATTTCCAACTTTAGACTGAGTTGATTGTTTTTTTTCTTCCTCTATAGTTCTTTATATATATCTTTATTCCATTTACATACATTTTAAATTTCTTCATATCTATATTTTAAACTTATGGGTTTTGTTTATTCTGTACCATACTGGAAATACCTCAAGAGCATGGGTCTACTTTATAATCTGTATGAGAATGTATATAGGAATACTGTAGGGGTTTAACAAATGTTTGTCAAAATTGTAATACACACATACACACACTTAATGCTCATATAGGCATACAAACACATTAAAGGTAGAGATGTATTTGCTTCTTTTGTTTGAAAAATTATATACAAAACAATTAGCAGGGCTAGGAACTGACCTCAATTTATAAATAACTTTAGCATTGTTCTCTTAAAAATGACTGAATTTATACACCATTTTCATAAGCATGTATTAACTTTCATCTGACATCCGTATTTATTTGTCACTGTTTCCAGATAGTATTAGGCATCACATTTGGGTTTTTTAGTGAAAAATATCTCATTTAGAGTTGAAAAGTTTGACTTTTGTGGAAATTAGCATCTACCATATTTGAGAATCAACTTTACTTAGTTGAAAAGCTCTCAGATCACAAATTGTAATTATGCCATGTAAACTACTAGAAGGATTGAAAAATAGGATGGGAAATGATATTCAGGTTTCCTCCACTATTTGAAAGTTTGCTTCACACCACTTCTCTTTTACAAAAGACCTGCATTGGTACCTGTTTTTGCTTACTGAAAGAAATCTGAAGAGGACTCTTGCTTTTCTGAAACAGTAATTGCTTCTTTGTTTTATGGCATGTTAGCTTTTACAAGGTGTCATAGGAATGCTCTACTTTCAGAGAGCAGAGGAACCTGTATTTGTTTTTATCTGCGCATAAGAAAATGTGAATGAGTATGACTTAAAAGTTGAGTCATCTGCTCTGACCTGGGCAAGCATTTCAGCAACAGGCAGGGGATATGGAAAATCCTGCTCTAAGCCTCGGATAGTCTTCTTAACTACCTTTTTTAGTCTCCTTGGAAATGAGAGTTTCAGAAATTGGGTGGTGGGGGTGTGGGGATGGTGTTTAAGGGCAGTACATCTAGAAAGTGTCTGGCTATTTAGGTCTCTTTTTTTAGGGTATACAGATACATGTTTTTTTTTTTTTTTTAAATATTACATGCTTTGTGTTTCTTGTGTTGATTAGCTTATTTTCCATTCTCCTCACTCTCCCTGAGGTTGACATAACATATACCTTATCTTTTTATATCTTATAGTGTTATTCTTTAACAAACGGAAAATGGATGAAAATAAAGATATGGACTCAAAAGAAAGTGGAGAATATGAAGACGACTTTGAAAAGGACTTAGAATGGCTAATTAATGCAAAAGAAAAAAGTGGTGCCAGTATAATAGAGGTATATGTAAATTGGCAACAGCATTTATAGTAATTACATTAACAAAGCGCTTTGTAAATCTTGAAGAGTTTTGCATATGCTACTGAAACCTCAGAAAATTCTTTTGATATACATAGAACAAGTACCATTATTTCCACCTTAGAGATGAGAAAATTGAAGCATAAAGAATATATATGTTGTGTCCTAAGGTGAGGGCTAATTAGTGAGAGAACAGGGATTGATTTAGCCTTAATAAAGTTTAAATTATAATTAAGAGTTAAAATTTATATAATATAAATAAGTATGATTTATTGCACTAAAATATGAATAAGTGCAGTTAATTTCTACTTTATATAAACTTGGGTGAAATGGGCTTATACCTTTAATATAAATGAAAAGGGGTTATACTTTTAATATAATGAGGTTATACTTTTAATATAAATAAAAATAAAGCAGATTCTCAAAAGACATGGTCTTTCAGCTAATATTTGAAACCTTAAGACTGATTTAACTCTTCAGAGGAATTAATATAGAGAAAAATATACAGTCAAAACTGAGCCATAGGAATGCCTGTAGGAAAAAGTAGATCCATTAAATATGATCATATACTATCTATCAAACCCTTAGAATGGAAATCCATTCCTGGATCACAGACAGTTCTTTCTCTCTCTATAGATAGATAGATAGATAGATAGTGTATGTGTATCTATATATAATTCATGTGTGCGTATATATGTATGTATATATATATTCATATGTATGTATATGCATATGTACATATGTATGAAATTAGAGTCAATAAACAGGGAAGTAATGAAGAAAAGATGTTAAGATTTGTATAAGAATAGTTGACTTTGGAAGGACCAAGAGCTCAGTAATTACAATAGAAGTCAGACTGAAGAATGTTAAGGAAAAGAATATAAGAGAAAGAAGGCAGCAAATTTTATTTTTAAGATTTTATTTATTTATTCATGAGAGACACACACACACACACACAGAGGCAGAGACACAGGCACAGGCAGAAGCAGGCTCTGTGCAGGGAGCCTGATGTGGGACTAGATCCCAGGACTACAGGATCACGCCCTGGGCTGAAGGCAGGCGCTAAACTGCCAAGCCACCCAGGGATCCCTGAAGGCAGCAAGTCTTACATCACAAACTTCTCTTTGTTCCATTTTGCCTTCTTATGCAATGGAGAGGACAAATGGGATTATATTTGAAAAAGGCAACAGAGTAAAAAGTCAAGATTTTTCTAAGATGGACTTTAAATAGAAATTTTATGCATCATTAACAAAAAAATAATCAGAATGAGACAGGCAGAGATACCCAGAGTTCAACCAAAGTCTCATGACTGGAGGAGTGTGAGATCTAGAGCACAGAATGCTAGAATTAGACAGGTGAAAATCAGGATTCATTGTCTCATTTCTTAATTAATTCAGAAAATATTATAATCACCTGCCACATATCAGAGGCTGTTCTCAGTGCTAGGGATAAAGCACTGGTCAAAACAGAGTGCTCTTATCAATCTATTAATCTTATTCATTCCAGTGGATGATTATAAGAACATCTTCCTTCGAGGCTAGCAGGAAAACAGATGACAAAGATAGAGACAGAGATGAATGCTGGGGAAAATTTCATTGTAAAAAGTCATAATTTCATTGCAGTGGGTTTTTAAATTTTTATTCTTTTGGCTTTTTTTTGCAGTGGGTTTTAAAAAGAAGTGAAAATCAAAGAATAATTAGGAACAGATAATGTTGGAATGAGCCACAGAATCAAATATGGTTTAAAAAAACAATTACAAAGCAGAGATCTTAGTTTATTAGATCTTAATTATTTGTTAGACATTTTAATGGGCCAAGTTTATTTGCTTAGCAGACATATAGCAATGCTGTGTAGGTCAGGAAGAGGTGGCTATTGGAAAAGATGACCTTAGAGCAAGTTAAAGAGGAAGAGAATTTTAAGGGGCTGAAGAGAGCAGCAAGTAGTAGCTCCCATAGAATGTTTTAGGAAGGATTGAGATTCTGAGACAAAAAAATATTGCAGGAGAAAAGTGTTTGCTTTGTTGGTGAGTATATATGTATTTGGGAGAGACATTAGGTAGGAAGTCTTTAATTAGAAACAGCAGACATTGAGCAGTGTTTTGTGATGTGATAATACTGGTCTATGGCTCATGTGCAGTTGTGCTTTTTAAATATAAAACCAAGTTATATGATGGTGTTTGGCATAATTATTGGGGCCTCTGAGGATAGTTGAGGAAGGAAAATGTAATCAAGAGATTAAAAATTGACCTGGAATTTGGATATAGATCCTGTAGAAAATAGCAGCAATAATAATCTGAAAAGATAAAAAAAAAATCTGAAAAGATTATAACAACCTCAGAACAATTAGAACTTGACCAAAGACTAATGTTGATCCTGGAGAGAAAGACCTCTCTGTGTTTTTGAAAAATACAAATATTATAAGGAAAAAACATTAAAAAAATTTTCTTCTGAAAATTTAAAGGGAGGAAAATTTTATAGAGGAGGAATATTAAAATAATGTGGTTCTATCTGTAGTTATTCTTTCATTCATTAGCAAGAAAATTTTAAAAATATTAATATAGTACTTAGCATCAAATTCAGATTCAGGGTTAAATTTTTCCCAAATGCTCTTGTCACATGTCACATGTTTTAATATAGTACTTAGCATCAAATTCAGATTCAGGGTTAAATTTTCCCCAAATGCTGTTGTCACATGTTTGATTCACATGTGCTCACAAATATGAATTGGAATATTAGAACCAAAATATAAATAAGAGGCATGTACGTTTTCCCATTCATAAAATATATTGCATGAATATGAAATTCATTTTGCATTATCTACATATAAATGGACAAAAAAAATTGAGACTGAAATTTTTACTCAATTTTTACTGAAAAAGAGAACTTTGTATCTGTTTTTTAGATGGCTTGTGAGAATGAAGAGAATATTAACCAAGAATTAAAAGACAATGAAACAGAGATAGAAGACACCGAACAACATTCTGATCCTGACAAATCTTTGAAGGATGAGCTTTCACCAAGAAGAAATGACTTCATTTCTGTACCAAGTATTCAACCTTTGGATCCCATATCAGATTCAGATAGTGAAAACTCTTTCCAGGAATCCAAAGTGGAAAACCAGAGAGACCTGGAAGAGGAAGAGGATGAGGAAGTAAGGAGATATATTATGGAGAAAATTATTCAAGCCAATAAGATTCTACAAAATCAAGAACCTGTGAATGATAAAAGGGAGCGAAAACTTAAGTTTAAAGACAAACTAGTTGATCTGGAAGTTCCTCCACTGGAAGACACTGATACTCACAAAAATTTTCTTGAAAATGAAAGTAGTATGTCAGGAAAACTGTCACAGTTATGTATTTCCAATGAATTTGGACAAGAAAATGTACTTCTGTCACTGACTGATGGAAATTGTGAAGAAAACAGGGATAGGAAAATACTAGTAGAAAGAGATGGAAAGTTTGAACTTGTGAATTTACAAGACATTGAGAGTCAGGGGTTTTTGCCTCCCATTAATGCTAATAGCACAGAAAATGAACCTCACCAGTTGTCACCCAGATCTTCTAACTCAAATGTTAATAGTGTCAAGAAAGAAGAGCCTGTAGCAAAGATTCATGCTATTGCTCACTCATCAATAGAAGAACCACTGGCTTTTATCCCTCAGCCACCACCCAACCCCAAGACTCGTCCAAGCTCTGCTGCCAACTCAGATCGAAGTAAGGGGAATGGGAAATCTAATCACAGGATACAGTCTGCAAATATATCTCCAGTGACCTCAACATACTGTCTTTCCCCTCGACAGAAAGAACTGCAAAAACGGCTAGAACAAAAAAGAGAAAAGCTAAAGAGAGAGGTAAGAACATAAGCATTCATCATATTAAAAGCAAAATATATTTTCATGTTTTATAAATACAGTAGGAATTGGAATGTTTCCTCAAACTGTTAGACATATTTGCTTGCTTGTTTTTCTATTGTTAGATTAAATGGTAAAATATTAAAAATGTATTTATGGGATAAACACCATGATTATCTTTATCCTTTTTTTTTTTTAAGATTTTATTTATTTATTCATGAGAGACGCACACAGAGAGAGAGGCAGAGACACAGGCAGAGGGAGAAGCAGGCTCCATGCAGAGAGCCTGATGCAGGATTTGATCCCCGGTCTCTAGGATCATGCCCTGGGTTGAAGGCAGCCCTAAACCACTGAGCCACCTGGGCTGCCCTCTTCATCCTTTTTTATAAGGATCACAAAGCATAGTAATGAATGACTTGTGTTAGAGGTAGAAATCTCAGTGAGGACATTATTTAATATTTTCATTTTAAACATGAGGCTGAGAGAAGTGACTGCTGAAAGTAATTTTTTTAAAAGATTTTATTCATCTATTTGAAAGAGAGAAAGCATGTGAGAAAGAGAACATGAACAGGGGGAGAGGCAAAAGGAAAAACAGGCTTCCCACTGAGCAGGCAGCCAGCCCAATATGGGGCTCGATCCCAGAACCTGGGATCATGACCTAAACCCAAGGCAAACACTTAACTGACTAGACCACCCAGATGCCCCTGAAAGTAATCTCGATGTTAGAAGGTGAAAATCACATGTCAGGCAGAAAAATGAAGGCACAAATTCGTTGGGATTTGAGAGGTGACAGGTAGATTTGGGTTATAATTCTCTGATTTATGTGCATATATGTTTTCATATATGTTCTATGCCTACAATTCCTTGATTTCAGGGATTTTAGCTTTAGATTAAGAATAGAGCCTAGGGATCTATTTAGCATCTGCCTTGGGCTCAGGGCATGATCCCAGAGTTCTGGGATCAAATCCCACATCAGGTTCACTGTGGGGAGCCTGGTTTTCCCTCTGCTTGCATCTCTGCCTCTCTCTCTGTCTGCCGAATGAATGAATGAGTGAATGAATGAATAAATGAATAAATAAATAATTTTGTCTCTCATGAATGAATGAATGAATAAATAAAAGAATAGAGCCTAATAACCTTAAAATATTTATAAAATGCCATATAGAATCCCAGATGATGATAATGATGGTTTTATTCTGTCAATCAAGAAGAGGCTGTGAAGCAACCAAAGCATTTATTTGGGGTCTTACAAATTGCAGTCCAGGAGACACATTGTCAACCTAAATCAAAAGTGTGCTGTAATTAACGAGCAGGGAGTACAGACCTATAAAGGCAAAACCCACAAAGTTACACAACTTGTTTTGAAAGAATTACAATTGCTGATGGCAGAGTTTAAACTGACCACCTCATACACATTGGATATGTAGTCAACAGGTGTTACATTATTTCAGTCCAAAGTGCTAGGTGGTGGTAGTGGTGGTGGTGGTGGGATATTGCAATTGACAAGTTGCAACTGACAAAAATCAAAAATTCATGATGGCCTAATTATTGAAACAGGAGATTTGAAATAGGAGACCTACATAGGCCCCACTTCCTCAATATTCTTGCAACTTTTTCTTTCAATTCTTTCTATTTTGAGTGACTCTTACCAATTCTTACTTTGTTTTGAATCTTCTTTCACATTTTCCCCTTCTCATCAAGATATTTCTGGTAAGAAAGCATCAATGACAAATTTTTATGATCATGAAATTCATTGGCAACTTGCAACTTGCTCTTGCCCTATCATGTCTCCTGGAGGGAGGAGTCTCATAGTGATTGAACATATTTGATATGTTCAATAAGGATGCTAGGTGAAAGCCTACAGATGCATTTGAGTAACAAGGAGGTTTGAGGAAATAAGAACTAGAATTCAATTAGGTTTTCTTTCTTTTCACTCAAAGTGTAGATCTGATGAATGGTTTCAAGTCTTTGAAAGAACATTATCTAAGTTCTGACAGAATTTGAAACATTGGCCATGGAAAGTGTTAATAGTGTGATAATAATGAATATAGAACAAATTAAAACAATTATGAGTAAGATAATTTGTAGTCCAGATCTTCCCCAATTCTGCTCAGGAGCCAACTAAAAATATCTGAGAATTTGAAATCTAGCCAAAGGTTTTAGATAACAGGATTAGAGATTTAGCAAGTTTAAGAATCTTAGCAGTTTCCAAATTCCGCCTGATGGGAAGTACTTCTGCATGTAGAGCAAGAAGTATAAGTGATGGCACAGACTCCACTGTGGGTCACGAGTAAATAACCTAATGCTATGCTATTATTGTGGACAATATGAGATAAAGTATCCAAAGACTTGCCCTGGCTCTAATGGCTCAGGGAGTGGACCTGGCAGTTCTACTCATGGCCCAAGGAAGATTTCTGATCATGTACTCATTCCAAGCAGTACTTATTCCAAATCAGCAACTGAAGATCCTCCCAAATTGGGTTCCTTCACTAAGGTTTCTCTCTCCTGGGAGACCACAACCTTGAGAACATCCACAACTATTATCTTTATATTCAGAGAGGTTAAGGATAGAAAAAGGGGAAGTTGGATATCCCAAAAGGATTACTCTGCCTTTCTCCAGATGTTCAGGCAGTCAGATGCCCAAAATTCTCCCTTGTAAGTGCAGACAAAAATGTATCCTTTAGTAGGAGTGCAAAGTGTCTCTGCTTAGATCTGCTTATTTATGAACTCATTTTTTGGTATAGAGGGGATTATGGAGAAAACCAGCAATCTATTTTATTTGAGCAGATAGGAGGGTGGCTGTGTGTTTCAGATGTTAGCTGAAAGAATCTTTTGCAAGGGGGTCCTGCATCCAGAAGTGCCTATTGGAGAATACTTATTTGTCTGCAGGAGTCAAATATAGGAGGCTTATAGCTCTTTTTTTTTTTTTTTGGCTTATAGCTCTTGATAAGTTGTTGGACCATTAGAAATGTTTTCCCCAGTATTTTGAGGTGGTTAAAGTGAAGCAAAGGGGATTTTTTCCTTTCCTGAGAGGCAAAACTATTTTAACTTGATAGATAAGGTCAGAGAGGGCAATTAGTTTGTAGTGAAACTGTAAATAAAGTGACTAGGAGTCTCCTGATCTTCCTTAGTAGGCTGACAATGATATACTCAATAGCCGGAAAGGTTACCAGATAAAGCTGGGTACAGGAGGATTATCAAGAGTGCTGAGATGCCTACTACAAGAAGAATTATTCCAAATACTTCAGGAACATTAAGCATTAGTAGGAATCTATTGTGAGGTTATACAAGCCTGGTCATGACTCTTGGGGAAGCTGTCTACTTCTACTTCGGGTACCATGTGCTTCTTGTCCAGAGTGTTGATTTTAAGTGGGTCTGGATATTTTTAGTTTGAGAGCTCCAGGGGGTAAGGATATCCAGTCAGGTGAAGATGTCTTTTTTTTTCCCTCAATGAGAACTCAGTGTTAATCCATGGGTCAATGCCTCTAAGTTTAGCAGCACAGGGGTTAATGATACCTGATATGGCCCTTTCCAGTGAGTTTGGAAGGCATTCTTGTGAAGGTGACATTTCTAGTAAATCTCCAGGTGGGAGATTATGATGTTGAAGATCTTTGTCTCCTACAAATGTGCTGGGAAAAGACAGCTCTATGAGACTGGTATTATTTCTAAGGACCTTGAGAAGATCTTTGAAATAGATTAGGAAATTTCCTTTCAGTAGGGCAGGCTTATACATTCCTTGGTCCTTCCTCATAAGTGTTCTGGTAATGATTTCAAAGGGAGACCATTAGTGTTCACCAAATGGAGTGGATCCTAGGTTAAATAATATCAAGGGAAGGGCTTTAGACCAAAGCTGACTGAAAGATTCAGTCAGTTTTGTGAATTGGGTCTTTACTCCCTTTGTTTGTTCTATAATGGTGGAGGATTGGGGATGATATGTGCCATGAAACTGTTATAATATTGGCCAGATGTGGCAAATGACCTATAATATTTGTCCTGTGAAATGGATCTCTCAGTCATTATGAAGTTCTGAGGGTTTTCCCCAGTATAGAATTATTTTCTCCAATAATATTTACCATAGACCCGAGGCCATAGCTCTATGACTAGGAAAAGTTTCTACACAGTGAGAAAACATACAAACCATTACTAAAACGTATTTGTATCCTTAAAATGGTGGCAGCTGGACAAAATCCAACTGCCATATTCCAAAAGGTAAGAGTAGCAGGGTTTAGAGAATGATAGTATGCACTTATGACATTTGAGGAGACAGCAAGAGGGTTTCATAAAAGGTTAATATCTGGAAGAAAATGCTGATTATGATGAGTATGATGGTGAAGTTTGCAACAGGGATTGCTTATTTTTGTGACATATTTTAAAACAGTGATTGATAACATTATATCAGGAAATAATTGGATTTCTAGGGATTTTACACAAGTTTTGGAACACCATATGCTTCTACAGATATTACATAGAAGAAAGTTTAGTATAAGTTATTACTTGACAGTGCTTCCGCATGTGATTTAACATGTTGAATAAGCCTTATAGGCCCTATGGAATTTTGCAGATCAAAAAGACCTCATTTAGAAGTTGACTATGGGGAGTTTGTAAAAGATATCAAAAGGTTTGGACACTTGACCCAATAGGATCACAGAAAATTATAAAACAATACTTAATTATCTATTTAACTGATATAACTTTCAGGGACAAATATAGAAGTTTGCACACATAGCTGCAAAAGCCTTCACTGTTCTTCAGAGAAGACCCAGCTTTCCTGAGTAATCAGACTTAATAATGACAAAACAGATCACACTGAAAGTAAAGAGATTTTTGTGTACAATCTCTTATTAAGAGCAGGTCAACAACCTAAGAAAATTTTGTCCTTTTAGAAGAGGAAAACCAAAATTTTGCACTGGTGTATTTTGATATCAAACTTGAACTTTATATAAATTCTTTGTAATCTTGGCCAGCTTGATTATACATTGATTACACTTGAATACACATAA